CCTGTCCAGGTCCTCCCCCGCAGGAGCGGTCGCAGGGGCCACCCCTCCCAGGAGTAGCTCCTTTCCCCCTCCCAGTTCAAGGTCCCCACTCTCTCTCCCCCCTTTGTAAATAAAAACCGACAAGTTTTTTGGGTGAATCCAAACATTGTGTATTGGGAGGTAAGGGGAGGGGAGGGAGAAGGGGAAGAGAGGGAGTTGTCCAGGGAAACCGAGGCGACCCTACAACGGGGCCTGTGAGAACATGTACAGAGAAGAGCGACAAGAATGATTAAAGGTCTAGAGAACATGACCTATGAAGCCAGGCTTCATGAACTGGGCTTGTTTAGTTTGGAAAAAAGAAGATTAAGGGGGGACATGATAGCGGTTTTCAAATATCTAAAAGGGTGTCACAAGGAGGAAGGCGAAAATTTGTTCCTCTTGGTTTCTGAGGACAGGACAAGGAGTAATGGGCTTAAAGTGCAGCAGGGGAGGTTTAGATTGGACATTAGGAAAAAATTCCTAACTGTCAGGGTGGTCAAATATTGGAATAAATTGCCAAGGGAGGTGGTGGAATCTCCCTCTCTGGAGATATTTAAGAACAGGTTAGATAGACATCTGTCAGGGATGGTGTAGACGGAGCTTGGTCCTGCCTTGAGGGCTGGGGGCTGGACTCGATGACCTCTCGAGGTCCCTTCCAGTCCTATGATTCTATGATTCTATGTCTTTGAGGGCCTCCTGGATGCGCACCCCATCATGGTGCAATTGCCCCGCCCCCTCCTGCTCCTCCTGCTGCCCACCTCCCCGTTCAGCCTGCTCCCCATGTCCAGGTCCGCCCCCGCAGGAGCGGTCGCAGGGGAACACGGAGGGCACGAGACATCCCAGAGGGCGGGGGGGGAGGCAACGTGAATGAGTGAGTGAGTGAGACAGGAGCCGAGGGCGGGCAACTAGGGGGCGGGGGGGTGAATGAGTGAGTGAGTGAGACAGGAGCCGAGGGCGGGCAACTAGGGGGCCTAGGGGGCGACAGAGAGGCCCCGCCCCCGAGCCGCGCTGACATGTAGCCACGCGCTGTGCGCCCTTTGGCCGGGCGGCGGTCTCCCGCCCCTTCTCGGGGAACGTGCTGTGGGCTGCGCTGTTTTGCCTGGGCTGCCGCTTGCTCTCCCCCGCCGAGGCCAGCAGCCTGGGGGCCGCGGGAGCGGTCACGGCCGGCGCGCAGCCGCACCGCCGCTTCGAGTACAAGTACAGCTTCAAGGGGCCGCACCTGGTGCAGGGGGACGGCTCCGTGCCCTTCTGGGTCCACACGGGCAGTAAGTACGCGCCGCTCCGCCGCCCGCGCCGGGCCAGGTGTGACCTGTGTCATGCCCGCCCCCGGGCCGGCTCCTGCCGGGTGGGGGGGCGCCTGCCTCTTTTGGCCCTGCCCTCCGCACTGCCGACCTCCTCCGGCTGCGGGGGGGTCTAGTTCCCTGGGCAAGCCCCCTGTGACTGGTCCCCTGTGGCCCTCGGAGACACCTGTCCCCCTTGGCACGGCCCAGGTGCAGGGGCACCAGGCTCTATGGGGACATGATTCTTACTGGCCCTGGGTGTGGGGATACCCCACGGAAACACATGGAGCTTATTCACCCTGCCTAAGGCTCCCTGCTCCCGCCAACCGGTGCAGACCCTGGAAGAGGTATGTTTCCATACACTCACTCCCTCCCTCCCTGCTGCCCTTTGCTGTGTTTGGTAGAACAGCTGGGTTTTGGAGTCTCAGTAAAAGCGGGTGAAGAATGCAGCGTGACTGTTTAAAAAATATTTTCTCATCACTGCACTGAAGCTTCAGCTCTATGTCATTACAATGTGTATCTAGTGTAATTGTAGTTGGCATTGGAAAAGGTTCAGAAAAGGGCAACAAAAATGATTAGGGGGTTTGGAATGGGTCCCATACGAAGAGAGATTAAAAAGACTTGGACTTTTCAGCTTAGAAAAGAGGAGACTAAAGGGGGATATGATAGAGGTCTATGAAAGCATGACTGGCATGGAAAAAGTGAATAAGGAAAAGTTATAAACAACTAGAAGTCCTGTGGCACCTTGTAGACTAACAGATGAAAAGTTATGTACTTTTTCCCACAATATAAGAACTAGGGATCACCAAATTAAATTAATAGGCAGCAGGTTTAAAACAAAAAGGAAGTTTTTCTTCACTCAGTGCAGAATCAACCTGTGGAACTCCTTGCCAGAGGATGTGGTAAAGGTTAGAACTTTAACACGGGTCTAAAAAGAGCTAGATAGATTCATGAAGGTTAGGTCCATCAATGGCTATTTAACCAGATGGGTAGGAATCGTGTCCCTAGCCTCTGTTTCTCTGTAGGTGGGTGACAGGGGAGGGATCATGTGTGGATTACCTGTTGTGATCCCTCCCTGTGGGGCCTCTGGTATTGGCCACTGTTGGCAGACAGGATACAGGGCTAGATGGACCTTTGGTCTGACTCAGTATGGCCGTTCTTATGCTGTATCCCAACTGGGCCCAGATTATTAGTGAAACAAGGCAGGTAAGATAAGGTGTGTTTCTTATTGGCCCAGCTTGTGTTGAGAGAGAGAGAGAGAGAGAGAGAGAGACGCGCTTTCAAGCTATACAGAGATCTTTTTTGGATTAGGGATGTCAGATAGCATGTAATTGAATAGTCATGTAACCACATCAATTTTTAGCGGTTACACAACTATTTGATATCCCCCAGGGATGGGGTCTGCAGCCAGTGCACTCCGGTCCCACTCCCAGAGAGCTCCCTGCCACCTCTGTGCTGTTACCTCTCTATCAGCTCCCCATGCACACTGACTCCGGCCTACTTCCCCATGCTGCTGCCACCTCTGATACAGAGGCAGCAGTGCGGGATAGCAGCAGCCCCTGCCCGTGGGGCACCTGAGCTCCCTGTGAACAAAGGCAGCTTTGCAGTAGCAAGCCCTGGCTGTGGAGGGGGGTCCAAGCTCCCCAAGGACAGAGGCTGCTGCTGGGGAGCAGCCTCTGTCCATAGAGGGCCCCGGGCCCATCGCAGGCAGAGGCTGGTCCACAGCAGTCTGCCCTGCCCTTTCCCCCTCTGGCTGCTGACTCTCAAATAGGCAGCAGCCCTGGAAGCGGGGGGGGGGCGGCGGCGCCCCCTGCCTATCCCCCTCCCCCTGCTGCCTCTGAAGGAGGCAACAAGGGGGGATGGGGCAGGACAGGCGGGTCAGACAGGTCCATGGAGCCAGCACATGTGGAGAGACAGCTCCCCTGTGGGCACTAGCTCCCCCCCCCCTTGAGGCAGCAAGTGTGTGTGGGGGGGGGAGAAGGCGTGTAGTCGACGGGATTAACCGATAAACCCAGGATTACCAGTTAATCGTGTAGTCATCTACACATTGATATCCCTACTTTGGATCTGGGAAAGGTACTCACAGCATTGGTGCTAAATGTACAGCGGAAAGGATTATTGCATATGTAACATATTTAGAAGGATCTTAAATTCATAACTGTATTATGGTGCTTGAAATATCTTTCCCAGATCTGAAGAGCTTTGGAGGCTCAGAAGCCTGTCTTTCACCAGAAGAAGTTGGTTCAGTAAAAGATATTACCTCACCTCCCCTGTTGCTCTGATAAATATGGTGCCATTTGTGGCAGGGTGGAACATCAAGTCTTGTAAAACAATTTAATAGGAGAGGGACTGATGCAGTATAGTCAAATCCTTGGAACAAAACTTTTCAAGATACTAAACTGTTCAAGATAGTCAAGACAGAAGCAGACTGTGAAGAACTTCAAAAAGATCTCACAAAACTAAATGATTGGGCAACAAAATGGCAAATTAAGTTTAATGTGGATAAGTGTAAAGTAATGCACATTGGAAAAAATAACCCCAACTATACATATACTATGATGGGAGCTAATTTGGCTACGACAAATCAGGAAAGAGATCTTGGAGTTATCATGGATAGTTCTCTGAAAACGTCCACACAGTGTGCTGCGGCGGTCAAAAAGGCAAATAGAATGTTAGGAATGATTAAGAAAGGGATAGAAAATAAGACCCAGAATATCTTACTGCCCCTGTATAAAACTTTGGTATGCCCACATCTTGAGCACTGTGTGCAGATGTGGTTTCCTCACCTCAAAAAAGATATTTTGGCCTTGGAAAGGGTTCAGAAAAGGGCAACTGAAATGATTAGGGGTTTGGAACTGGTCCCATATGAGGAGAGGTTAAAGCGACTGGGACTTTTCAGTTTGGAAAAGAGGAGACTGAGGGGGGGATATGACAGAGGTATATAAAATCATGAGTGGTGTGGAGAGGATGAATAAAGAAAAGTTATTCATTATTTCCCATAATATAAGGACTAGAGGACACCAAATGAAATTAATGGGTAGCAGGTTTAAAACTAATAAACGAAACTTCTTCACACAGCGCATAGTCAACCTGTGGAACTCCTTGCCAGAGGGGGCTGTGAAGTCTAGAACTATAACAGAGTTTAAAGAGAAGCTAGATAAATTCATGGAGGTTAGGTCCATAAAAGGCTATTAGCCAGGGGGTAGGAATGGTGTCCCTGGCCTCCGTTTGTCAGAGGCTGGAGATGGATGGCACAAGACAATCGCTTGATCATTGTCTTTGGTCCACCCTCTCTGGGGCACCTGGCCCCTACAGGCTACTGGGCTAGATGGACCTTTGGTCTGACCCAGTATGGCCATTCTTATGTTCTTCTTATTAACTAGGTGTCTGGTCAGTACGGCTATAAACAAATTAGGATTTCCATATGCCATTTCACAAGGGTAGCTGGTGACTTCAGCTGTCATACTCTTTACATATGCTTTCCTCATATGTATTGCCTAACAGAAATTTGGTGCTAATGGATTATCTTTCCACGTATTATTATTTAATTAAGCCTCACAGTGCACCTTTTAGGCAAGTAGAATCTTGCTTCACAATTGTGGCAGAGGTAAGGCTAAAACTACTGATCTATAATTAGTCATCTAAATAAGTGGCTTGGCTCTTAAAAGGTATGCTGAAAATCAAGCTACTAGTTCAGGTTCCTCAGCTAATTATTTTGACATGACTTGTTCAAGGTCAGTACCAAGCCCGTTAATAAAGCCAAGTGTCAATAACCACTTGATAATGTTCCCATTTCCTATTTTGTCTTCTATATCAAACACATGTATATGTTTAGTTCTTTGACTATAGAGCAGGATTTGGAGTTTTGGGTTTTTTTGTCTCTTCTATGGAACAAGTCTTTGGCCTCTTCTTTGAACAAGTCCCTTACATGCTCTTTAGGTTAGTTGTAAAATTAGGACAACGTGAGTCTGAGGGGGATGTTTAGAAGCCTTGTTAATATTCAGAGTGCTCAGAGATATTTTTACTAGGAAGTATTATATGAATATATAGGTGCATGTTAAAATATGAAAACCATATCTTTATTATGGGTTAAATATAAAAGTATTGCTTTATAAGTAAAATTACTTCATTGTCAAACAAGTTTATTTACTATATGATATGAAGCCCTTTCCAGCTTAATGTTATCAGAAAAGTGTTCTTTGTACTATTACGTCATTGATACATAAACACGAAATTAAAGGCAGATACTTTACAGAAGAGTGACTATAGTGGATCAGACCAATGATCCATCTACCCCGGTGTCTTGTCTCTGACAGTAGCCAGTGCTAGAAACTGCAGAAGGAATGAATGGAACAGGGCATTTTCAAGCAGTCCATTTTCTGAAATTCAGTTTCAGCTTTTGGTAGCTTGAAGTTAAGGGGCACCCAGAACATGGGGTTGTGTCCCTGATCATCTTGGCTAATAGCCATTCATTCATCTGTCCTTGAGCTTATCAAATTCTTTTTTTGAACTCAGTGTGACTTTTGGCCTTCATAACATTCTATGGCAGTGGTTCCCAATCTTTTCCAGATGGGGACCCATTTTGACAATTCAGGAAGACTCGGTGACCCAGGGCAATTTAAAAAAAAATGTGTGAATAGCTCCTTAAGACCCACCTGGGGAGACTCCTGGCGACCCTTTTGAAATGTAATGGTGACCCATATTTGGGTCCTGACCCATAGGTTGGGAAACTCTGTTCTATGGTAACAAGTTCATAGGTTTTCTGTGCTTTTGTGATGACCTACTTTTTTTGTTTGTTTTAAACCCGATATTGTTTTAAACCCATTGTTTATTTCATCTGGTGACCCCTGGTTCTTGTGTTGTGAAGGAGTAAATAACAATTCCTTGTTCATGTTCTTCATGTCATTCATGATTTAATATAAGTTATATTGTGTCCTCTGAATAGTCTCTCTGAATGTTCCCAGTCTTTTAATCTCTCCTTGTAGCCTCTAGCCATGGCAGGCCTGGGTGCCCTGAAGGTAGGGGTTGCTTTGGTGTCCGAAGCAGCCCCTGCCTGCATGGGGAGTCTGAAAACTGACCATTTATTCCTACCCTTTGTTTCCTGTCTTTTAACCAGTTATTGATCAATGAAAGGATCTTCCCTCATATCTCATGACTGTTAACTTTGATGCAGGATCTTGTCAAAGACATTCTGAAAGTCTTTGTACACTATATCCCCTGGATATACAATCCTACATGCTTAATGATGCCCTCAGAGAATTCTAATAAGCATAAATTTCCTTTCCAAAAATCATGTTGACTCTTCAAATTGCATTCATCTATGTGTCTGACAATTCTGTGGTTTACTATCATTTCAACTATTTGGTACAGAGGTTAGGTTTACTTGTCTGTATTTGCTAGGATTGCTTCAGGAGCCTTTTTTAAAATAACTTTTCATTAGCTGCTTTCTAGTCATCTGGTACAGTGGCTGATTTAGGCATTGGGTTACATATCACAGTACTTCAGCAATTTCATTTCGAGTTGGTTCAGAACTCTTGGGTAAATACCATCTCATTTTGGTGACTTAGTATTGTATAATTTAATCAATTTATTTGAAAACCTCCTCTATGGACACCTCAATATTGAAAGTTGTTCAGAATTGTCACCTAAAAAGAAAGATTTGAATATAGGGATCTTATCTATATCCCATGCAGTGCACGTTGATGCAAACAATTAATATACCTTTGCCATAACAGCTTCATCTTCAAAGAATGCTCCTTTAGTACCTCAATTGCCTAGTAACCCCACTGATTGTTGGGTTTCCTGCCTTTGTTGTACTTAAATGTTTCTTTGCTGTTAGTTTTTGTGTTCTTAGCTATTTGCTGTTCAAATTCTTTCTTAGCTTGCCTTATAATGCTTGGGTTGCCAGAGTTTAGGCTTTGTATTTTTCTCAGTAGCTTTTCACTCCAGTTTTTAAAAGATGTCTTTTGGTCTCTAACTGCTTCTTTTATACATCTGGCACTTTTTTTTTTTTGGTCTTGTCCTATTATGGTTTGTTTGGTTTGTTGCATAGTAGGATCATGTTTATTCAATCTAATTGGGACCAAGGCCAGACCATATAATTTGGAGAATTGGAGGGTGTGAGGCTGCACCCACACCACCATCTGCCACCCAAGTGATCACTTGCTTCTGGACCTGAATGTGCTGGCTGTTGGGTTGATATGGAGAGCCAGATAATGGAGTGTCTCATAGATGGACTTCTACTGTATACCTTTAGTTTGAGACTCTATTGTGCTGCTTTTTAAAATAGTCTCCGTGCAGGGGGACTAGCGCGAGCTGGGAATTAGCTATTCTGGCTTTCGCCAGGTGCCCCTTGCTGCACACTAGCTTTTTACATGTATTAAGAGCCATCTGACTCTTAATACATTTAAAAAGCAGAGCCACAGCAGGGTTAGCTCCTGGTCCCAAGAGTTAACCCTGCTGTGGCTCTCCCGATTGTTGACTAATCGACTAGTTGATGGAAATTCCATTTACTAGTCAATTAGTTGATTAAACTACATTTAATATTCCTAGTAAGGAGTTAGCAAGAGAGAGTCTCTGCTCCAAAGAGGTTGCATTCTGAATAGGCAAGACAGCGAAAACATCTTTTCCCTTTCCCCAAAAGTTTTATCTCCATTTTACAGATAGACATGGAAAAATTTGACTCGCCCATGGTCTCATAGGAAGTCTGTAGTAGAGCAGAACACTGGAAGTTGTTCTCCTGAATTAGTCTAGTTCCTTATCCATTAGATCAACTTTCCCCGCAAGTTGTACATTACTCTCTCAGATGAACTTTGAGTAAGTTACTCTATAAAATATGGAGTTGCCTTTCATTACAAAATTTTGAATCCAGTATTTGCCTTATAATTTCAGAATATGCTGTTCATCTTTCCTTATGTTCACTGTTAATTTTTTTTCTCTTTCAGATGCCATACCTAGTGCAGATCAGATTCGAATAACTCCATCTTTAAAAAGCCAGAGAGGATCAGTATGGACAAAAAATAAGTCTATATTTCAGTATTGGGAAGTTGAGGTGACATTTCGAGTGACTGGAAGAGGCCGAATTGGAGCTGATGGTTTAGTAAATGAATTTTTATTTAATTTTGAAAACAATTTTGTTTTATAAATGTGGATCTTAATGTATTACTTTTAATTTAAGGCAATCTGGTTTACTGAAAGCCAAGGCTTAGAGGGTCCTGTTTTTGGAGCAGCTGATACTTGGAATGGTGTTGGCATTTTCTTTGACTCTTTTGACAATGATGGAAAGGTTAGTTGAAAGCAAATTCTTATTATAATGGTTCCAAAATAGTTTCACTTTTACCATCTTGTATTTATGCATGCGCATATTTTTTGTGAAAAATTAGCGGTTTTATATTGGAGTAGTTTTGTTTGTTTGTTTTTTGTCAAGATGCAGGTTTTTAAGAAGAGAAAATGTGAAGCTCACAACTTTTCTTTCATGCAGTTTCCTAAGATTCCTTTTTGACCAGGCTATATTGATTTATTTAAAAAAAAAACAAAAAACCCACGCTTCAGGCTTTTAGCCTTTTTGAAAGATGAACCACCTTGCTGTAATTGATCTTCAGTGAGACCAGTTCCTTTGCTAGATTTGAAGGAAATATGTCTTTGATAGTCATGAATTGGTACAAGGAGTTTTATCATGTTTAACTAATATAAAATCTTATTAGGTCTATGTGTTTGTGCATTAGGAGAGAAATACTGGTATATTTATGGAGATCAGGAAGTAGAGTGTCTCTGGTATAAGTCACCCTGGTATACATCCGTTCTGCACTAAAGTCGTTGACATTTGTAGGAACTGATGGGTTATAAGTCCTCCCATTCCCTGCTGTTAAGTCATGCAAAAAAACCCAGCCAATTTACACAAATGGAAGTCAGCTGCAGGAAAAAAAAATCCCCACTTTAAGTAGTTTCCCTATACGTTCCAAAAAACTTGGACTTATAGCAAGGATGGCCTGTACATGGTTTTTGAAGTTTTGCATGAGACTACTGCTTCTGTATTTTAGATCCTTCAGCTTCCAGCTACCCTGAACTTGAACTAAATAATACAGGATGTCATTTTTTTGTTCTTAATCTGAGACCGTTCAGTCTCAGTCCAAATTTCCTATTAACTTTGGTGATTTGGTTTTGGTTTTGGTGTTGTGTTTGTGTGTGGGTGGTGTTTTTTGTCACAGAATGGCACGGACCTTCAACATCTCAGGAACTCCCTTGCTATTCAGGCAGTTTTAATTCTGTCTTCCCTGGCTGGTGGAATGGGTAGAGGGATGTTATCCAGCTTTCTTGTCCCTGTCTACTTCTAGGTGCCTTTATTCTATCTGGAAAGTGAGTTCTTAACTCCTAAGTGCTTACTGCTTTTATAAGCCGACAAGCATACCTTTGCCTCTAGGAATAATGAGCTTTATATCTCACTTATTTTTCAGGTTTAAAAAAATAGGGAACTAAATGCATTACAAAAAGGTGTTGGGGCATCAAGATTCCATAGCTGACCTGAGTAATGGGATACATCTAAATATTAAGGCATTTTAACCTCCTATAATATACATAATCTGAGGTGTAACCTGAGTTGCTTTAGGAATCTAAACCTTTGTATCATTGTTGAAGGCGTTTTGTAATAGTGTCAAACTGTGGATTTAATTCAGTTTTTTGTAAGTCCAATAAGCAGATCACTCTTATGGATCTGATAGCCGAACTTTACATAGTAGACAGACTAGAATAAATTCTTCACTTCTGAAATACTGTCAAATATCTTTACATATATTAACAGCTATTAATACACATCACAGAAGTTTAAAGTTCATAGGTGAGATTTAATGTAGTATCTGTAAAAGATATAGCACAGAACTCTCAGTGCAGGTACAACGGGAAAGGGTGCCTTTGTTCCCCTAGTTTTGGGAAGGTTCAGGAGCCAGAGTGGACCCTGGCATCTAATTTGATGGCCTTGGAGGATTGAATTGTGGTATCCTGCCACTGCCTATAGGAAGCAGTGCTCCTCAAAATCTGCACAGCAGTATGTCTTGAAATGTCTTCTACACTGAGAGGGTCCTCAGTTCCTATGCCAGAGGAGTTCTCTCTCTGACTGGATCCAAATATTTCTGATTGTCTTTACATAGCTTTGGCCTCTTAACTCTGCATATGGGTAGTGGAATGGAGGTAAGAGTTTCACCAACCCCAAAGTCTTATGAGTCATGCCCTCAGAATCATGAAATTGATTTGTCAGAGGGTTTTTTTTTTTTTTAATAAAAGTTCACTCTGCCTTCTGTTTTTTGATTCTTCGGTTATTCTTCTGTTTTTCATATTTTCTCTAAACATGGTGCCAAGAAGCTTTTGCTTTTTAAAAAAATTACAGCTGAGATTCTCATGATTTTTAAAAGCAAGAGCTTTGGAAAAAACATCAAATATCATAAGCCTTATTACTATTGTGGGATAATATTGCAACCCTGCTCTGCCCATAATCTGTTAAGATTTTTTTAAGGAGCACAACTGTCTCTTTCTTTAGTTCTTTTCAAGGTATTATATCTTTTCACTCTTTGTCCACGTCTTATTTCTTCTAGACGTCACCTTGCACAGAAATCAGCTTGCTAGTTAATTAACTCAGAATGCTTCAAGATAGATTATGTGAGCAGCTCTCCTAAGATACTTAAAATCTGAACTGACCATTGTCCTTTGAAATGCAAATAATTTGTAAATTTAATTCAGAGTAAGAGTAAATATTTAAAACCCATTCAGTTCCCATTGAATATTGCTACTTTTAAAATACTTTATTAGTATCATTTAACTTGTTCAAGTCACTAAAACATTTAGGCTATGTCTACCCCATGCTCCTTACAACAGCCCTGCTGCAGCTGCACAATTGCAAGGTAAGCGCTGTAGCTACTCTTTATCACTGGGAGAGAGCTCTCCCAATGACAAAATTAAACCACCCCGAACAAGGGGCAATAGTTTAGTTGATGGGAGAGTGGCTCCTAATGACAAAGCACTGTCCATACCAGAGTTTTTTATCATTAAAACTATTGTCATTCAGATGTTTTTTTTTTCTCTTTCCCCTGAGCAATAAAATTTTATGAATGAAAGTGCAGACATGGCCTAAGTCCAGATAAACACTGAAATAATTGAATGTCTAGCATTAAAAAACAGTAATAAATGTTTAAAATAACTATAATTGCTCATTGTGTGCACATATGTGATACGTTTTTTTTTTTTTGTCACGCTGAAGGGATAAAATCAGATAATTTAGAATCTATAGTTAGATCTTGTTTTGAAAGATTGCTTATAAACCAAAACTGCTGGAGAATTTAACATGAAAGAATTCCCAAATACAATATAAGAACAATGAAAAATGTGAATTCCAATTTTATATTTCTATTTTAGAATTCTTTCCCTCTTACTAAGGGCATTTCCTTACTCTTCCTCAAAAAATGTTGAATTCTGTATAATTCTTTGCATTCTCTACAAGTGGAATAATATGTACTTTGAAGGCAAAGAGGGGGGTTGTTAAGAATAAGTGGCAGCACTGCTCCCTACCCTAGTTATTTTTAAATTAGCAAATTGCAAGAATAAATAGTAAATATGAAAATCTCATGCCCATAACTGACCTCCCATAGGTTTTTTTCACTAACATTGCTTACAGAACAAAAGAAGGGTGCTGTTCTTTGTGTTGACTGACTCCTACTATTTCATCAAACTGTTTAGTTTTCCTACTCCTCTCCCTCCACAGCTGCATCAGCGTTAAGATTTTGGCTATCTGGTTAGCATACTGACCTTTTGGCCTACTACCATGCTCTTGGGAAAGCTGTTAATTATATTGTACATTGAGTTTCTAATTTGTAAAATACTTCATTTTAAATTGTGAAACTCTGTTCATATGGTTTGTCTTTCAGAAAAACAACCCAGCAGTAATTGTTGTAGGCAATAATGGAAAACTCCTATATGACCATCAGAAGTAAGTCTATTAATTTTATTTTAATGTGAATTACCTATGGTAGTGTTTGCTGAAAAGTTTGCAGACTTTTTAAACACGGTTGAAGGCACCTAATTTTAACTGGTAAAAATATTTTTTTCTTGTGGCTTAAATGGATGCACATGCCATTCGGTGTGTGCTTGAATAATATAAAGGCATTGATTGCTACTAGGTGACTTCATACACTTTTCCTGCAGATTTGTTTTCTTCCATCAGGGAGAATGATTTGAATTTTAGTAGAACTATCGAACACTTTATTGTTGTTCTTCAGTATCATTTAATAGCTTTGACTTATTTAACTGCTATTGTGCTGCTTCTGCTAAATTCATAGGTGTGCCCTTCCCTCTAAATAGCATGGTGAATGTTGCAATATAACACAAAGTGTTCTGGAAAAAAGTGGCTCCAAAAATTGAGGTGCAGAACTTTCACTTATAATTCACAGATTTTCAGTGACAACAAGTTGCTTACCAGTTCACAACTGCGATACCTCTGTGAAATGATTTGGTGGTCTCATTCATATTCCTGATGGACAAGTATCCACATCGCAGATGATGCCCTTGTTAGCTTCCTGAGCAGAGAGGCTCCTGTAGGTGGACACTCTTGGTCAATATTGAAGCTCATTGGGAAGCTTGTACTGCTTTTGACCTTGCCTGTGGTGTGTGCCAAAGGATTTCACTTCTAGTGCTGTTAATCCTAAACCTTTTGGAAATGCTAAAATTAATTTAAATATTCAGAGGACCTTTGTTCTTGGAAAGATTTGCTTGACATTTGTAATCCACTAAAATAAAGAAATTTTCATGCCTTTTTTCCTAGCTAGTACATAGTAAAGATGTAACTCTGTAAGCAGATTCTCTTTTTTTTTTAAGTGATGGTTCTACACAAGCATTGGCATCATGTCAGAGAGATTTTCGTAACAAGCCCTACCCTGTCCGAGTAAAGATTACATATTACCAGAAACTACTAACAGTAAGTACTCTGGTAGTCTTGAGAATACAATACTTTATTCAGCTTCTGGATCTATTAAGTATATTTTCTTGAATTTTTATTTAAAATGAAAAGGGAACAAACTGTAGGACTCATAAAAATGAGACACAGACAAATCAGAGAAGTGTAATGCAGACTGCCACTCTGCAAGCTTCTCTAACTCTTCTAATAGCCCTGAAACATTCTTGCTTCTGCATTCCAGGGCTCCAGCTTTCATGTTTTATGATCTAAAGAAATGTCCAAGACATTTTAAGTTTTTTGTGATGGAGTGAATCCATTCCATATGGAGAATACAGAAATGGTACTAGGATGAGGCATCTATGAAATAAACTGGAACAAACATTTTAATCTTAATTCTAGATTCTATAAAATGTGCCTGTCGAGAGGCAGGACAACCTGGATGGTCTAGATGACCCGAAGTCGTGGTCGGTGCCCCTTTTTCCAGGCAATTATGGCTTGTAGGCCCAGTTCCTCTCATGTCCTTCTACCCAGAGTAAATATGGCCCTGCCGGCCTAGTCCACAGTACAGTTCCCTCTCTGAGTAATTATGGCCCCACAGGCCCAGTTCCAAAGTACAGCTCCCTGTATTCGAGTAAATACGGCCCTCCAGGCCTAGTTCCAAAGTACAGTTCCCTCTATCAGGGTCACTATGGTCCAGAGGAGAGTTTCCCAACCAGGGGTACGAGTACCCTTAGGGGTACTTGGGAGAAGTCTGGGGGAGGAGGTACATCATCACAACTGAAATTTGGAGAAAACTTAATTTTTATTTTTTTGTACTTTTTACACCCAAAAATGTCATCATCTGTCTGGCTATGATTAAGTTGTTTAAACAAATGTGTTGCAGTAGTAGAAAAAAAATTGTCTGAAAACTGTAGGTAATGCTTATAATTTTTTTTTAAACGGTATTTTATTTATAAAAAGTTGAGAAACACTGGCCCAGAGGCCTAGTCCAAGGGTAAGCCTCCAGAATGATGGAGAGCGGGATTATTATGGGATCAGCAGGTAGGGGGACCCAGGCCCTTTCACTCCACTGAGTCCTAGCCCAGGGCCCCGTTGGCAGTGGAGGATTTCACTGCTT